CCCCCCCGTCTGAATATGGTTAAAACAGACTACTTATATATCTTAATTAATTTACATATCTAACCAGGAAAGACTTCTGTTGTTTTCAATGTGCCCTTGGGGATGACCCCAGATCTACTTATACATGTAGATAGTGAGTCGCCTTCTTGGCAGTATCCTGCACCTCATATCTTACATTGCATATTCTATCTGTAAACTCTTGGTTCATCAAAGTCTTCAAAGAAATAACCTGTCCGTGACACTTTGTAAGTATGGGTTCCTTGTGTAAACAGACCGAAGCACGACTTGACTGTAACAACTGCATTTACTTTTATCTATTCATACATTCATCTGTTATCTATTCAGCTCAGAGGACATTTGTACACAGCCGGAGCTGCCCAACTAATAGGTGGCTATCAGATAAGGTTAGTCTTGAGACCAATGGGGAAAACTGGAAAAGAGAAATTGTCCAGCCGTTACATGTAGACTACTTTTTCTTGATCTGTGAAGAATTTTGCGTTAGGATGACAAATAGCTTTTGATTTAATTATAGTAATTATGACCAAGAATGTGTGTTTATCTCATATTCTTATAACTGGCACGTATATATCATTTTATTATGTTTTAGCATGCAATAGTGTGAGTCAGTCAGCCTGGATCCCATATGAACATTATGGCGATAAGAACTGTGGTTAACAATGAACTAAGAATACAACTTGTATGCGGGGATTTAGGTTTATCTGAGCTTTTTTTGCAAATGTTTTAATTAAAATGTTAAAAAGCGTGAGTTTTTCAATAAAACGTAACGCAAAAATTGGGTGTATTTCATTTCTTATTACGTTATCGCAAACATACAGTTTAGTGTCTACTTGGGCCTTGGGCTAAGTCTATTAATTATTACCTAATTGAAAATGTAGCTATTGTTTTCGGCCTGTCTGTGTGTCTGCCTGTGTGTCTGTGTTTCCGCATGCTTGTGGTCGGTATAACTTTATGGATTGTGATGATATTTGGTATTTTAGTGGTTCATAGGAAGGTAAAAGTCAAAATCAAATCTGGGCCTCCTGTGGCTGACCTTTGTGCTGCAGCAGATCTTGACGTTTTGGCGATAGATAGAGCTCCCTGTAAGGAACAAGTGGTTTGGGTTCGATCCCCCCATCAGCTTGTTGTGGAACTGCAGGGGAGTTTCAAGCGAAATCTTTAAAAGTGGATAAATCAAGAAAGAAACGATAAGTCTATATGATTTTTGGCATGTTGATACCTTAGACAGAGATATACACAATTGTGAAATATGTAAAGGACGACTCGCAAAATTAATGAGGAATAAAAAAAAAACATTTACATTTATTTTTATTTCATATATGTAATGTATATAGTCTATGGCACTTGGAACATTAACAGAGAAAAATTCTGCAAAGGACAACTAATTTGCATAATTAAGAAAACTTTTATGATTTCTTAAAGGAGGAAAAATGTCACCCCAATGTCATTTTTGTTAATTTGCCAAACTATCTGCCCGCTGCCCGTGTCCCTCCCCCTTCCGGTCAGTCCCCTCTCACTTCCGCCCACCACGGTCCGGACACATGTGCTCCCGCCGTCACCCCTGACACTTGGACAGAGCTAGGCGAGGACGCACACGTGGCCTCGCTCTCCCCTCTATTCTCTAGTTTTTCGTTCCTTTATTCACGTTTGCGGTTTGCGATGACTAAACCGAAAGCCTGTACAGTCTGCAGGCTGCCAGTGAAGGGGCATGATGGCCCTTACGGCCCCGGGAAGTGCGGCGTGACCCTCTCGTCACCACCAGACGCCTCGGACAGCGACGCGGACAGGCGCCGTGCTGACAGGGCCCGGCGGTCTCTGCAGAAGCTCCGGCGGGAGAGCCGAATCAAAGACCTGGCGAAGGGTCTCTGGTCAGAGGCGAGCGACGGGGAACAGGCAACTGTACGTGACCTCCGTGAAGACAAGGTCTTGGCCAGACGTGTCGAGCAGACTTTGGACGAGATCTTCGGCAAAAAGAAATCGCCAGCGTCATCCAAGAAAAAGGTCCGGATCCCGTCAGACGACGACAACCTCTCGCGGTCGAGCTCTTCTTCTCCGGTGGCTCACAACTCTCGCCGCCCCCTCGTAACCTCCTCGTCGGAAGACAGAGCGAAGGCCCGTCGCCACAGTTCCCGGCACCGCGTCTATTCTTCGTCGGCCAACAAGGCCAAGTCTGACCGCCCCACTACCAGAAGCCGACGGAAAGGCAACAGGTCACGCCGATACCGTGCCACCGACTCGGACAGTTCGTCGGTTTCGTCTTCGTCGCCGCGCAGGTCCCGCCGCCGAGGTAAGGGCAAGAAGAGTGGCCGCAATAAGACTATCAATGATTGTGTTTCGGGCTTTGCTAAAGTGGACTGGCCAAATCATCACGTGCACTTCCCCGGCAAGGGTAAGAAAGGCGATGGTTGTGTCACGTTCGATGATTTGTCGACACCTATGTTCACGTATGGATATGTCAAAAACCTCATCGAGGAGAAACGGGTCGAGGGATCCCTAAAGGTTAAACTCCAACATCTCGCTGATTTGATGTTTGATGCTGCGTACTACGAATGGGAAGTCGTGCGGGAAACACATGCCGCCGTCCTGTACTCGATGGAGAACGGCACGTTAACCTGGGCAGACAAAGACGCCATCGACGACACCCGAGAACGCCATTACCGCACTCAGGCTGGGGC